GATTAAATTAATATTAATATTTTCTTCAGATTCTTTTGTGGGATTTATTTTTTTTTAATATTTAGGTCCTTAGCTTATCTAGATTATTGATTTGAGTGGTATTGAGGTAGGGATCTAACATTTTTCTTTTTCTTTTTTTTTTTTTTCCTAATCCTGAGGATGGAACCCAGAATTTTGTACATAATAGACAGGCACTCTGCCACTGAGCTACAAGCCCTACCTTTTTACTTTTTCTCAAGTATTACCTAAGCTCTGATTTCCATATAATCAAGTACAAAACACTTCTTTTATCAAAAAACATTATTTCCCATGTTTATTAAGTCACTTTTTGAACTCTTTTATTCTACTGATCTGTGAGTTCTTCTGCCAAACTACTGTTATGTAGCTTTATAATATATTTTGAGATTTGTTAGCACATATTTCCTGATATTGTACTTTTTCACAATTATCAGGGCTGGAGATTTAGCTGAGTGACAAATACCCATAACCCTGGTTTCAGTCTCCAGCATGCCCATGCATGTGCACGTGCATGCGCGCGCGCACACACACACACACACACACACACACACACACACACAATTATCATAGTCATTTCTGTATTTGCTTTTCCAATTGAACTTTCCCCCCAGCTTTTCAGTTCTAGTTTTAAGAAGTTTGTGAGGACTTGGGCTGAGGTTATATTCAACTTGTAAATTATTTTAATCAAAGGACATCTTTACAGTAGTAAGTCTTCCCATCCAGATTGTCTTGTGTGTGCTTTAGTAAAAAAGTTTATCATAAAGATCATATGGGTCGTAAATCCATGTTCCTCATTTTGTTTGAATTGCTAAACTAGCCTTTGCTTCTGCAATGGACAGAAATAAACTGCAGTAGCACTGATCTTCTGATTGCATTCCTGCCTACTCCCTCACTCCTTCATAGTGGCTGAGGTGACGTGTTATGGACTAGATCGTGTTTCTTTCTCACTTAAACCATTCAATGGCTGGCTTCTCCATGTACTGAAAAAAAAAAATCCAAATTCCTTACTAAGGGACTGAGATCATTTTGGGGTCAGTCCCCTATCTACCCTTGTCTGTCTTCATTGTGTAGTAATATATGTATTTCAAGCTAAGGTTTTCTTTGATTTGGTTTTCGTGTAGGCCAGTTTTTTCCATATTCTCTTTTTTATTTTAAGGGAATCCTTCATATATGTACACTCTTTGTGTTACACATTTATTGTTTTGGGATGTTTATTTGATGGTTATTTTTATTAATACGTTCTTTATTTCATAGGATTGGAATAGCAAGTGTCAATTGTTTTGAACAAGAAACCTGAAGGTTCCTTCATTTTTTGTCTTTTTTTCTTGGTTTTCCTAAAAACAGAAATCAGTATTAGAGCCTATTGACCACAGTTATTTGAAGTTCATGAACTTAGGATATACAGAAAATAAGTGAATCTAAACACCAAAGAATAAGATCATTTTGAAGCTCTGATATTTATTAATTGATATAAGTTGCAAATGCATGGCTAGTACTATAAAAATTAGAATTGTATTTTGTTTATCAGAATTAATATGAGAAAAGATCAGAAATGCTCTTTTCCGTGAGTTTTATTACTTGCAAAAATATATTAACTGGAATTAGATTGCCAGATAAAATACTGATTGTCCAGTTAAATTTGAATTTCAGGTTGTAAAAGAAACAATGTTTTTGGAATAATTTTGTCCCGTACAATATTTCAAAGATATTAAAAGTTGATTTTTGTATATGAAACTTAAATTTAACTGGTTGGACATCATGGTTTTTTTATTTGTTAAATTTAGCAATCCTAGATGGTTGTCTAGTCTAGCAATCTAACAAGAATATGATAAACAACTGGTAAGTGGATTTAAAAAGCTTACTATCAAACATAAATTCATGCCTCAAATTGCAGGCAGCTTTACCTATTGGTGAGATACTCAGGCTTTTTTCAGTATCTTACTGCTTTCTGTTTTTGTTGTAATAGTCTTGTAAAGTCTTTTTTTTCTAATTTTTTTTTTTATGTACCGGGGATCGAACTCAGGACCTTGCACTTGCAAGCCAGGCGGTGGAACCACTGAGCTAAATCCCAAGCCCTTTTTGCTAATTTTTAATTACAGATTTTTTTTCATTACTCAGTTTCATCCTAGCTTATTTTTCAGCCATCACAAGCTACTTGAGAAAAATATTGCTACTTGCCTTTTAAAAAAATGTTTGTTCATGCTTGTCCCTGTGTCTAAAGTCCCACATTATATCCCTCTTCTCTATACCTATCCTGTCCCTCAGTGTCCATTTGATGTGCTATTTCTAAACAGCACAGCTTCTGATTTTCACAGCTGAATATGATCTTAACTCTGAGAAGTTTTCTTACCTGCCACTTACCACATCCTCCCTTGTCCCTTACTGCCTATTACTCAAGTGTCTTTGAAAGGATTTGATCATCATCTTCCCAGTTGTAGTTTGCATTCCTGAACTGTGGTTAGCAGTGTTCTTTACAATCCTCGACACTCAGGCTATGTTTGTTAAATCAATTTAGAACAGTTCCCTGGTTTCCAAGTCAGGTCCACTTGGAAAGGTCCAAGAGAGACTCCTGTAGACACCCTGACAGATTGATAGGAAAGGAGAAAAGACTATACCACAGCAAATCCAAGTATGAAGAGTATAAAACTAGGGTTAGAGACACATGGTCAGTCTGAGGGTGATGGGGACTGATAATGATTAACCTTAATTGCTAGGCTACGAAAACCAGATTAGATAGAAATTCTAAAATATTCCCATAATCTTTGGAAAGTGAAATCAGAAAAGCAGAGCAAAATGATGGTTACCAGGGATACGAGGGAGTTGGAAGATATTTGTTGGTCAAATGATACAAAATGTCAGTTAGAAAAGAGAAATAAGATTGGGAGATCTGTTATTCAACATATTGGAGGGACAACTATTGAATATCACTGACATAGATTTTAAGGGTTCTCACCATAAAAATAAGTACATGAGTTAATACATATATTAATCAACCTGATTTAACCATTCCACAATATATGTATTTTCAGGCATCATCAATATATACACATTTGTCAATTAAAAGTCAAAGATAACCATGGATATTATAGTTAGGCCAAAGAATAGTCTTAATGTCTGGTGCTGTCTAGTAGTACTCTAATATGCAATACTCCTAAAAATTCAATCAGAAATAGGATGAGTCTTTATGCTTTTTTAAGTCTTTTATAAGATAAATATTGGCAATAAAAATATATCATTACAAACTTAGTAGAATTTTCTGCAAGAGTAAATAGACTTCTTATTGAGAAAGCCTCACACAGCTAAATTCTACATGTTGTAATAGGTGAGAATACTATATCCTCACTGTATTATAGCTTGGTATAAAAATAAATATTTTTAATGATGTGCTTAAATTATCTAAAGAGATTAATTTTAAGTATATGTTCTGCTTAAAGAAATAGGTATAATACATTTTTAAACATTGCCATCCAAACTGGATGTTTAGGCATCTGATTACTGACATAATCCAAATAATTCATCACACAAGATTTATGAAAAGCTAGTTTGCTGTATTTAGTAACATGATATAAACACACTATTCTATATGTTTGTTTAAATGAAGGTGTAGTATCTGGTTGTAACACTAGGTGGTGGTAATTGATTTTAGAAATTGTGACTCTCTTGGTCATGTATTCTTTATATTCTTAATAATTATTGAGGATCCCAAAGAAGTTTTACTTATAGATTATAAGCCAACAATGATCAATATTTTTTTAATGATCAATATTTTTCATGTGAGAAATTGAGAAAAATTTAAAATGTATGCTAATTCATTTAAAAATAAAATAATATGCCCCCTGCTTCTCAATATAAATAACATTCTCTATGCTTTGTCTGTCTTTTTGATCTCCATAACATTAACTCTCATCTTTATGCTGATTCCAAAATCACTTTAAATAATTTAAAGAAACTATTTTTAAAAACAAAATTAGTAGTGGCATTGTTTTAAAGTTTTGCAAATCCCCTTAAAGCCTCGTTCGTTAGTTGACAGTAGATTTCTATATCTGTTTATGATTTCAGACTGTTGTGATAGAGCACAATATTTAGCCTCTCAATTTTCTCTGCAGTCATGACAGAGTGAGAATAAAAAAGGGCAATTAATGTCACATTACAAAAATGTTTTGACTTGATGTAGTGTCTTCAAAGGCCCTGTGAAGCACAAAGTCACATCTCAATATAAAATGATAGTATATGTACCACCTTTTAGATTTGAACTTACAAATCCAAAATATTAAACTACTGCTTCTTACCTTTTACTATAGAGATACTGTGTACTCAAGAATGCTTAGTAAAATATTTGCAACAAAAATGCCGGAATTAATATTCTTACTGCATTAACTGATAAAAAAGTATCCTAATAGAAAGTTGGAAATGACCAGATGGTGAAAAAAATGCAAAATTATATATACACACAAAAATTATATATAAACACAAGTTTGAACCAGAAAATAAATGTTTTCTAGATATATGTGTAGATGAAAATGTGCTATTATAGTTCTAGTTAATGTAGATTAGCTAAAAGCTGTAGTCAGTGGACAGATTTTATCATCATCAGTCACATCTCTAAGTGATCTCTTACCTCATTCTCTATGCTTTGTCTCTCTGTCTTGTCTTCTTCCATGATGTTAAGTTTCACTTCTATCATAATGATTCCCAAATCTCTACATCCGACCTTAGCTCTTGTCTGAAAAAGTTGATTGATATATGAGGTATTAGAATGAATACAACACACTGTAATATATGTCTAAATAACTGATCACTGATAGACTATGGCAGAAGGAGCTTCTCCAGAGTTCTTTTATGTTTTTATGCTCATAGTTTTGGGTAAAAGTAAAAGTCTTGGTATAGTATAAATGTATATGCATATTTATACACATACATGTATGTCTCTTTTAGAGTATATATACTAACACAGTGTTGTTTGATTTCTTTGTTTTTTGCAGAACTTCTTGGTATACATGAGCAAGCAGCTGTAGGATTCTTAACATTAATGGAAGCTTTAAGATACTGTAAGGTAAATTGATTTTTAAGATATTTTAGATAGTTTGTTGCCAGGACTGATCAGAACCCCAGATACATGTAGGGGGATGACAAGGAATAAAGAGAAACAGACAATATTCAAGGTTCAAGGCGTCACTTTGGGGAGCCTGACTCTAGTGGGCAGACTCAATGATTTCTACTCTTGACCTACTTTTATTAGCCAGCAAGAAGTACAGGGGGAGGGTAATGTACTTTTTCCTGGAATAGCGACTGCAGTAAGAATGGGGCAACAACAGTGAGGAACAAATTAATGGGGATTAAGTCCTTCCCCATACCTGGATTTGTGCAGTTTTTTGCATTGTCCGTAGCAGATGTTATCTTTCCTTAGGAGTGCTGTTATCATGCATTTTCCTGATAACAGCCAGGAAACATGCAGCCTTCCACGTGTTTCCCTTTTCCTAAAGCAAGTCACACCAGCCTCAGGACTGCAGGTTCTGCAGCCTGGACCCCACCAATATATACATATCATGGCTGGTCCTCAACAGTTTTTATGCTCAGGCCCACTGCTTTTTGGATACTAGTTTTGTCCCCATAATGGCACATTTTAACTGAGGCCTGTTGTTATATGCCACTCTCTTCGCCTCCTTCCTGATCTCCCACCCTAAACTGACAGATTACTAAGGATAGTTAAACTGACTGACCATGCTGCATTTCCTGTGAGCAGAATAGGTGACAGAACCCACAAAAAATACATAAAAATTGAGACAAGTATTATTTAAAAAATGTATTTCATAAGCTGAAGAAAAAGCACTTTTTTTTTTTACTAAAAAGAGAATGCTTAAAAAAAATAAAAAAGAGGATGCTTTACGAAAACAACTGGTAATAACAGGCAAAGATAAAGAATTTTCCAAGTGTCTAAATTCTTTTATTTTTCCCATCTGAAAAATGATTTCACACACACACACACACACACACAAATTCCATGCATTTCACAACATTGAACTCTTTAGCACATGTGCTAAGGTCAGGAATTGCCATAAAATGCTCATTTATTGCTATACATTTAATTGCCTTCCTACAGAATCTGAAATAATCTGAAATAACCATCGAGTGTGCCAAATAGTTTTAAGTGGGGTTTAAATCTTTAATGGTTTGCACTTACTAAGATGCCATAATTTTGGAAAAAGGAAGAAGAATTATAGTTTTATTTTCCCATTTTAAAGGAGTTCCATAGTAGTAGTTCTGGTAGTCGTGTTTATTTTTAGTAATATCAACAGTGTCTTGTCATCTGTCTGTGTTTATATGCATGCATGCATGCATGCATGTACAAATGAATGTATTTTAATAGTGCTGGTAGTGTTATTGCTGCTTACCAGACAACATTCCTCTTCTATGACACTTAAACAGGTGATACAGGTATGGTAATCAAATAGGATTTATCCTGCCCTTAACTCCTTAGCAGTTATCATATGGTTAAACAATAGCAGCTTCTTTATTTTCCATTACTTTCATTATACAAGCTAAAGCTACTCTGAGACATCCTGGCAACCAGAGAATCAAACTGTGTTCCCTTCCCCCCCAGCATGCACGTTCCTGTATCCTAAAAGGAAGTACGTGTGTAAGTTGCCTGTCTAGGTGTGTGTGTGTGAGCATGCAGACCCATGTGTTTTGCAGGAGGCTGAGTTATAGGGATTTTATACTTTGAAAGCTTTAGCGTGTAACTTAAGAGCTGATGATGTAGATCGCGTCTTTTGGGCTGCATTGTTCTTCCTTCCTGTGCCCCAGCCACACTATTTGCTGTCACTTGCCTGCACTTGCCCACCTCTTTGCCCTCTGTACCTGGAGCATTCTCGCTCCTTAAGTGGATGCTTCACTCTCCCCTTGAGCTTGTACTTCAGATCATGTCTGAATGACTCTTTCCATGACATTTCCTCAGTTACTCTTTTTCACATTCTTTCATAGGGAGAACTACTCTGTGGTTACCTTTTTAGTCGCTTTTAAAAAATATTTGTTTTTCTGTTATCTTTGCTAAAGGAATATAGATTCTTTGAAGGAAAAGCATTGTCTTGCAGGGTCCATATTATGTGCTCAATAAATACTTGTTGAATGAATGGACAATTTTACCAGAAATATAAAGTTTTCTAAATGTTTCCTGTTGCTTTTTTTCACTGTTAGGTAGAACAGAAGAGTGTGATTTTTCATCAGAATCTTAGTAGGAAGTTAATACCTGCTGTGTATTTATTTGTTTATGTATTGCTGTAGTGTACTAGCAGTTACATGGGTTTTTTTCCTAGTTAGATAAAACATTCTTTTAGTGGCACAATACAGTACACTGATACATGGGTAGTAGAAGGTAGAGAAGACTTCTGGGCAAGGCCACGCAGCAGTTACATCTGGGGGAAGAGGAACAGCCAGCTGGAGGTGTAGGAGCCCTGACACGTGGAAAGTGGCGTGGGATTAGCTAGGTTTCTTGCGCTTCTGTGGAGCAGCTGATTTGGTTTATTTCAGTAGCCTCTGAGCAGAAGGACTGCCCCTAGTTGTCTGGTACCTGGCATCAGGCTAATTTAAGATTGGGAGAGATCTGTAAGCCAAGTGAATTTCATCTGTTATCCTTTTTAAGGAGACTGACTAATTTCTAGCCAGAACCTCAAAACTGAGTCAACATTTAAAAAAACAAAACAAAACTATATTAGACCGTGATGTTCATTTGTATATATAAATTCTCATCATCTATGTACATTTTCTTTTTTTACCAGATGTTCAGAGCAATGGCATAAGGGAAATAATTATGCTTGTTATTTTTGTAAACGTAAACACATTTCCTTATTGCATGGCAGTGTAGCAGATTGCTTTTTAAAAGTGAAATTAAATTTTGCATATCATTTTGACCATACATTCATTAATATAAGTGAAGCACTACCCCTCCCGCATACACACATAGCCCAACAAAGAAGGTGATTCTTGGTTTTTTGACTGTGCGCTTTTAAGAAACTAAGTTTCTTACACTTGTATCATAAAGTTCACCATTCTGAAGTACACAATGTAGTGGGTATTACTATATTCTAAGGCTGTGCGGCTGTCACCCTTATCTAATTCTAGAATGTTTTCCTTACCTCAAGGAGACGCTCTAACCACTAGATGCCCCTTCATCTTCCTTCCAGTCCCTGGCAGCCACTGTTCTACTTCCAGTCTCTATGGTTTTCCATCTCCTGGATAGTTCATATAAATGGAAACTTAGGATATATAACCTTTGACTTCTTAGGATATATGGGATACATGATCTTTGTGTCTGACCTGTGTGTCTGACTTCCTTTTTATAATTAAATAAAATAACACTCTGCTGTATAATGTACGGATTTTGTTTGCTCATCCATTCATCAGTTGATGGATGTGTAGGTTGTTTCTACTTTTTAACTATTCTGAATAATGCTGCCATGAACATTCATGTACATTTTTTTTGTAAGCATGTTGTTATTTCTCTAGTTTATTCCCAGGAGTAAAAAAATTAGACCATATGACAATTCTTTATTTACCTTTTTAAGAAACTGTCAAACTGTTTTGCAAAGTAATTATATTTGTGCACTCAATTTATTTTTATTATAAAGCACTTAAGATCAACCTTCATTTACCTTCGATCCTCTATATAAAATCTTATCGTTTAGCTTATTATTTTAAATACATATACATGCTTTTTCTGAAAGAGAAATGAAACAATATCTAAATGATTTTTCCACAGAACTCAACATGATGTTTTAGAAATCCACCAGAGTAGTAGTCAGGTGACCCAAGTTTAAATCCTAGCCCTGCAATACCTAGGCTCTTATCTTGTGCATTTCTCAAGTTCCTTTTATATAAATTGGAAAATTTGCACTGCTCACAGCTTATACTCTAAAGCTGATGAGAGCTTTTCCTTTTCCTTTACTCTTTTCTTCTTATTCTTCTCTGCTGTCTCCAACTTATGCTTCCTATTTTATTGGCTCATTATTCTCATGTTAGCTCAGCTAACTCATCCCTCCTGTCAAAGGACAAACATACCAATTTTTCTACCCACGAATACAAAAAAGTGCTTATTTTCCACTTCTCTCTTAGCGATAAGAATACATTCCACAGGGACATGGTGGTAGGTGAAATGGGAACGGCTGGCTGATTAGGAAAGAATGACTGCAAGTAGTCACTGGAATTTCCCAATTATAGTCAGTCTGTGTGGGGAAAGAAATTCAGCAACTTTGACTGGTAAGATAGTTGTTTCCAAGTAATGCTTTCTGTCCTCATGTGAGCATGCAGTTGACTGTGGACAAGATGGGCTGTGCAAATCCATTTTATTTGTTGAGTATCAAACCTTCTTTTTCTTAGTCACACACACAAAATAATACTTTCAAGTGTTTGGTTACTGTAGTGTTTATATAGATATATAACCATGAAGGCAGACTCTAATGTGACTTTATGTAGACTTTAAAAAGACTATTGAGATTGTAAAATCTTGAACTCTTCTATCATGAAAAGCCAAATGACAGAATTCTTTCATATTCTGAAATGTTTTGGAGGGCATCTTTTTCATAAGGGATTATCATATTACCCGAGATTCTTTGACAAAAAGAATGGTCTTATTTTTTGTCTTTACTTGTTCATACATCTTGTTAACTTATAATTATTTTCTTTATAAAATAATTATGAAATTTATGGCTTTGGGTTTGAGGTACCAAGTCAAAAAGAAAAGTAATCATTCTATCACTTTAGTAAAACCTGGTATTATTTTAATATACAAGTACAATATAAGAAGAGAAATATTTGTTTTATATGTTCAAAATTTGATCTCTAGAGATAAAGTACTCTCACAATAAGTTATTATATTCAAATAGGATTTGGACATTTTAGTTATGTTTCAAATATTTGTGGACAGATATTTAAAAGGCAGTATAAATTTTTCATTTATTTGTTTTATTTTGCTACATTTTTTTCTAGGTTGGATCTTACTTGAAATCTCCAAAATACCCTATTTGGATTGTTGGCAGTGAAACTCACCTCACTGTGTTTTTTGCCAAGGTATGCTTATGGAAGGATTAGTTTGCAGTATGACATCAGGAAAACAAGGACTAGCAGTCCATATTTAGTTTGGATCTTGCTGCAGATGCCGTCTATTCCCACTAATAAATGACTTGTTCCAAAAATCTAAAAAAATCAACACTAACGAACATAGTGCCCTATTGCTCTAATTCTAGAATCATTTCAATAAAATCTGTCATTATTTTTTCCATAAATCATTTGTGTTATGAAGCAAACAATTGAATTTAAGGGCTTTTTTTGTAAGGGTAAAAGTCTAACTTATGTGATATAAAATATTTGAATTGCAACATCTGCTTAAAATATAATTTTAAACATCTTAATATTTCAGTGGTTTTAAAGCCATGTGCTCTTTTGAGATAGACTATTTTCCACAATTTTAAGATGTACTTGATTATTAGATTAACTAGACGAAATCCATTTAAATGTTTACATCAAATTCATATAGAAATTTCGAAAAACTATTTCTGAATTTTGTTAACTATAATATTTTTCCACAATTGAATGACTAAAAAGAGCTTTGGTATGAGACATCCTTTATTTAATTCTCAGCTTGTCAGTTACTAACATCTCTTTTTTTTTCTTATGTCTCTAACTTGGGGGTTAATAAAAGCTCTTAGAGTTGTTCTCGGGCTTAAATGTAAAATATTTACCAGTGCCTGGTGCAGATTAAATGCTCAGTAAATTTTAGATGTTATCTTTTTTGTATTATTCATTTAACATTTATCAAACATCTGTATCATAGGAAAAAATTGTTAGATGTGGAACTGAAGGGGAGAAATAGAAAATTGTAGTTTTTAAAGTTTCTTAATTCTAACACACTTTTTTGATTACTCCCTGAGCTTTCAAATGTATTTATCAATGTGTTTTTTTGCAAGTGTGAATTGTATAAATTGTACCAAAGACTGAATAAAGCTAAATTTTATAGGTATAATTCATTATATATTCTCTTTATTTTTACTGTGCTAGCAAATATACAGCTAGTAGATTTAGAGCAAGATACATACTTACTGCCTCTTCCATAAAAACCAAGAAGGCTCCAAGTACAGCTCTAACTGGCTTTACTGATGTGTTACTTTTAGTCTGAAAGCTTTTGCTGTTTATTTCCTTTCCAAAGTAAGGCAGAAGAAGTTAAAAGCCAAATGTGATCTACAGAAACAAAAGAAAAATCAGTTTCAGTTTACTTACTAAATATATTTTAAGCCAGTTGTTTCAATCACCAACACTATTCTTTTTCAATAGGAAACTAGTAAGTTGTATAAGTTTTTTCTTATTTTTGAAAACAAGTTTTATTTAAATAAAGACTTAAATACATTAAATAACATCAAAACTTTTAGCTGCTCTTGCTGCCCAGCATAGAACTTTTGAATTCATACTAATTTTTTTTTGAGGCTTACTTCATAGTCTCAGGATCTAATGTATGGTGTGGCTCATTTGGTACAGGATTTGTTTAGTTAAATGAATGGTTTTTGCACAAATTTCCCACCCTTGGTTTCCAGTGATACCAGAATGCCCTGAAAATATTTCTTCATGACTCATTCTGAAGTTCTTAAAAAGCATAGGCATTTTCTTTTCAGTATATTTTAGAAACTTTGGATTGTTTAAACATGTAATCTTTAAAAAGAATTTCTGGTTAAGAATTTTTTTCCCCTCTGAAATAAAGATCAAGCCAGAACATCACGTAAATGGTAAGTGAGACTGATAATAACACTCACTGACTCCAATTTTAGATGTCTTTAAATATAAAGGAAGATTATTGTGTTCTTCGCCATATAGAAAGAACTGGAAATTTTACTGTTCCTGGAATTGTATCGAGAATCATTCATTATTTGGTCCTTCTACATTTGAGCAATCATTTGGCCATGGGTTTGTTTTTGTTATTTTTGAATTTTGAGTTATTTGTTTTTGGTGAATTTATTTACTCTCTGTTATGTGTTCCATGGCCTGAATGAGCAATATTGTTTTTTCTTCAGCAGCTTACTGTAAATATTGATGTCTTCTTCTATGAAACTGTTTTGTGTATCTGTATTTGTGTTTAAATGTTGACTTCCTTATACTGGTTATAATAAAGTAAAGAAAAGCACATTCTGTTTTCAAGGCAACCTATAATTTAGTGTTGTGCAGTGCCATTGGAAAGCAGTGGAATTTTTTATCCACTGAAGATGATAACTTTTAACTGCCTTTGTTTAGTGTTATGCTCACTTATCAAGGCATTTATACTCATGGGCTTATAATCTGTGCTTGGCGTTATGGCAGATGCTGTGATTATAGAGGTGTTCATAAACAGGAATAGTTCTTGTTCTTAAAGAGGTGTACATTCTAGTGAAGGATAGCCTTGCTCAAATGATCATACTTAGAATGTTACAGCTGTGATGACTAATGTCTTAGTTGCTTTTCTCTCATTGCTGTAGGTGCTCTGGGATCACTTTTTTCTTGTATTTCCCTCAAGAGGAGTGATAGGAGAATATCTGTCTTTGTAGAAGATAGAAACAATATTCATTTTTTAATTGAAATTTAGTGCCAGTAAGAATTACTAGAATTCATTTGACCCAAATTCCATTCTCTATGTCAAAAGAAAACAGTCTGTAGAGGAATGAAAACTTCTAACATTACGTATATGGCAAGGAAAGTAGAAAGCTGACAGCCAAGATAGAGTACGATACGATGAAATCAACTAGAAGCTGTATTGAATTTAACCTGCATAGGGTGAAAAGATGTGTGTAAACAAACTAACAATGTAAAAACCATTACTCGAAGATTTAACACACAAATAATGGAGAAAGAATAATTATACTATTTCCAAGAAATTATGGGGTATGGAAATTAATAGAACTTGATTTTGCTTTACTAAAATGACAGATTGTCATTACACTGTAGATGTAGAGTGAAAACTGAATTAAGTATCTACAGGGACTTAGTTTTAATTTTTAGATTATAATTGTTTTATGTGCTCCATATGCATGTTATTAAATTTTTATGGAAATGAATACTTTATTAGACCCTGATAATAAAAAGAAAAGGCAGAAATGTGATTTTTCACCCTGAAAATTAATTACTTTGAACAAAAATTATGAGTAATATTAACTACATTGTAGAGTAAGCTAAAGCATACGTTGACTTTTTATCAAATAATAGTAGCAGTTTTGATTTCTGTTCATTTTTCTCAAAAGTATGTCTTTTAAGTCAATGATATTCTAAAATACATTGAATTTTTTTAAGTTTATTTAAATTTTTTATTAGTACATGCTTGAGTTACAGAATAATTACATTTGGGGAAGGCGACAAAAAAGATTAAGATGTGTTATGTGTGTATATAAACTCCCCACATATATTGAATTAGGAATTATATGTATTTATGTTGTGCCAAAGAATATTACGTTTAAGTTTTCATCAATTCTTCACCTAGCCTCTTGACTGAAAATATTCCATTGTCAAGTGGTTAATGACTTTGGCTCACTTTTCCCAATTTTGCAAATGTGCCAATTTTCCAAATATTTATATGTTTATGTACAAGATAAATAAAGGCCTCATCTTTTGCATATGATAGAAGTAATGGTATACTGACCAACTTTTAAGATTCTATCATATTCTTTCCTAAAAAATCTTTCATATTTCAACTTCAGTTTTATTGTACATTATATTTATTCAAATTTATTTAATTTCTTACTTTGGTTTTTCTTAGTTTCTTCTTTACCCTTTGTATTTCCAACCATCTTTCCTTAAGAAATTGAAGCTACTTTCCCATGCTGACTTATATTATCAAAATAATGAACTTAGTTTGGAAAATGAACGGTTTAATTAGTATTGTTTTACAACAGCATGGCTTATTTTCCAGTTGCAAGATTAATCTATTTATGCTGCTTTATTTTATTTATTTTTGCTTTTTGAGACAGGGTCTCACTATGTAGTTCAGGCTGCCCTTGAAGTCCCTCTTTAGCCTATGCTGAACTTAGCCTCACAGCAATCTGCCCGCCTAAGCTCCCCAAATGGTATTACAGGCATGTGCCACAACACCTGGCTTGGTTAATTTTAAAATACAGAAAAGGAAGATACCAACGTAAGAATTGAGTGGTTTTACCACCTGAATAATAATAATTTACCTTCTGAATAATCCCACAGATGCTCTTTTCAGCATTTTTTCTCTAAAAATAGATCCAAGTAAATTTTCTGTACTGTAGCTGTTTATATCTTTTTTAATTCAGAATTTGACCTCAGTTTCTGATGTTGATTTTTATGGCATTTATTGTATTTTATGTTTATAGATAATCCACTGATCAAATTATTTCCGATTCACCTTGAAAGGAAAATTATCAATGAGTTACAATTTTCCTTCTAATAGAATAATATTGGTTTGATACAGTGTTTTATTGTGCATAGTGGAAAAATTAAGACTTTAAGGTGAGGGAGTAGAGGAAATAATAGAATCTCATGAACTGTAAACAGTTTTAAGAGTTATCTTACTGACATTATTCTTACTTCAGCCAGATAATCGTGTACTTATCTTGCTTAACTACCTGACCCACAGAAGGAATTAGAGGTGTAGTAAATCTCTTTAACTTAAACTTTCTGGCAATAATGCAAACTGCAAAATTCAGTCTTAAGCCTTAAGTAATTTTCCAGACTGAATGCTATTTGTTAAGGGTTCGAGAATGCCTTAAATTTAGTGTGGTACCTTTTATATACATATGCTAGTACTTATCACCATTTAATCTATCACTATTTTGAATTCATTAAAATTTAAAATTTCTCCTTACATGTAATATGAAAACGGCTGGCTTAGAATACCCTGCTTCTTTTGGTGACTTGATAAAATAGCACCTTTCAAAGTCTGTGAGTTTCCCTGTGGAAGTAACTTTGCTATGCTTTCTTCCTGGGTGCATTTCTCCTAAATTACTCATCTGGTGTCAAAAAGTTGTTTTTATTATAGATAATTTTATAAAAAGTAAACATGTGCAGACCCATTTAACAATCTTTTTTTTTTT